CGGCATAGTGAACTTCATCTCACCACTCAAGGAAGCACATGACATGATAAAGAAAGGCAAAAAAAGGCATTGAAGTAAATGTATATGAACTGGGAGAAATGAGATGGTGAGAATAATCTCAGTTTACACACTATGAAAATGTAAATATCTCAAGAAAAATGGCATATCCAGTTGTTACTCAGCAAGCAGTATGAATAATATTCTTCCAATGTGCATCAATCAAGAAAACATGGGCTCTATTTTGAGTAACCCGCAAAACTTAATAAAACCACTTCGCCTTGTTTGATCTTCACCCACATTTACAGTGTGATTTCGTCTGGTCTGACTCACAAAAACATGAACTAATAATTACGCATCACATTCAGAGCTCGAACCATACCTACATCTAGCTGAGTATTGTCTAACAGTTCATGATCTACCATTAGAGAGCATATGTGAAACTCCGAACCAACCACGACTTACCTCAAAGCTACCCACACTTTTCCCTTCTCCACACACATAATTGAGGAAATGACACTACTTCTCATCAGTTTCACCTTAGCCTCCCGTTGCCGCTCACCTCCTCACCATTGCCGCATGCGGCCCTAGGAAGTGGATGTGGTGACCTGTAGCAACCAATAACATAACTTTAGGCCTGCAAGATATTAAGGAGTCAACCCTTGACCTGCAAGGCTACAACACGTTCTATCCGAATGAAGCACCCACAACACTTCACCCTTGGCCTCCCTGCCTCGCCCAGCTCCTCCTCCTCCTCGTCGTTGGTCGCCGTGGTAAGGAGGTTGCAACAAGAGAGGCGCTGTTCTTTGGAGGGACAAAGGCGGTGACCTGTGGCGGTGGCTGGGGGAGCTGGAGCATGAGGCAACGGCGACCATTGAGGTGACACGCTTTGGAGGGTTGGAGGCGTCGTGTGGTGGAAGACGACCATGGCGTGTCGCGTGCATTATAGATAGCAAGAATCAATGCCATGCTGGTGTTCTTGATAGTATAATGCTACCAGTGCCCTACAAAATGTGGACAAAAGGTAACAGTAAATATTTCTTTTTGTGAGAAATGGAAATAAACTAATGAAACAAACAATGCAGAAACACATTTGCAGTGATGTATAGTAGTTTTTACTTGCAGGAAATATCAAAAAAGAAGTAACTTCAGTAAAATGGAAACCCACAAATGGAAATCTAGCAGTACTTCTACTAATTGACAAGCATCTTGTTTAGTTAACAGGGGCAGGTGTGATTTTGCTCACAGATAGAGCAAAGGTTTAAAAATCTTAAATAACTGCATGCTTTTTTAATCTAGAAAAATCAAGCAAAGCTCATGTGTGAGTATAAGCTATAAGGTTCAAAACTGTTAGCACACGTTTGTAAGATTCAATTTGTTACAATGCTAGCTATTTTTTTAACAGCCATATGCAGATATATACTACAATAAAAAAAACAAAAGAATTCATTTCTTGAACCTGGCGTTGAACTAATGATGTATCTCACAGTACTTAGTACTCCCTCTGTAAACTAATATAAGAGCGTTTAGATCATTATTTTAATATTCTAAACGCTCTTATATTAGTTTACGGAGGGAGTACCACTTTTGCCTTTGTAAATCCGGGTACATAATCTCGTAGATCATAAATTAACTTAATATACTGCATGCACAGGATACCATCAATTTCAGAATTAAATAAAGCATCTGTAATAATTTCCGTTCTGAACGGCAAACCGGTAATATATTTGGAAAGGTCATGCGGAATTGCACCATTGTTCATATTATAGCCATACTTTGCCTAGTGAAAATTATTTCTCATATCATGTGTAAAAACACGTAGAGTATCTAGAGCAGAATGAACAAAATGAAAGATAAATTCCATCATCTAGCAAACTACTTTGACAGAAAGTAAATTAACCAGCTAAAAATGACAGTGAAGACGGATCACTAAGAATCGTACGTGTACCACTCACATCCTTGCTCAGCCCCATGGCCTCCAGCAGCACCATTAGTGTGTGTGTCTGTGTGCGCGCGCGCGTCGCTGGTGCTCCTTCGACGTCTATGCGACGGCTCCAACACAACGGCCATGCCACTGTACACTGCCGCCGCCTCGCTCACTGTTTTCTTCCAGATGCTGCCACCGGCCTCCACCATGCCTCCCCATCTACCCATCCCAATTGCCACAGCGGGATCGCATCAGCTCACGCCAACAAATGCCCGTGGGCATCCTTCCTCTCCACATGCTTTGGGCCCTGTTTGGGGTACACCCTCATAACCTGCAATATTTCCTGTGCCCAAACTTGCCTGCTGCTACGTTTCACAATGCCCATGATGCCTCCTAATAAGTTGTCCACAAATTTGAAACCATAAATCATTTACTGTAGTATGCATCGCTAGATGAGGTAACCTTGAACCAGCAAATGAAAGCATACCTTCCTGAGAACTCTATTCTCACACTTCTCACACATTTTATGAGACTCGACAAAGCTTTGATCTGAGAATAATATTTAGTTAATACTTAGAAACTGTAACTGATGATGAAAGAATCAAGGTGCTGTTAGATAAATCGAGACAAAAGGGTGATTAGCTAACCTGTGATATTGTTTCCAACAATTAGGATTGAGTCAACCATGTATACATCTCCAGACTCCAGCTACAAGATTCCCTAATCAATGAAGAACCCAATTCAATATACAAGCATCAATTTGCCTGTCTTGTAACATCATAGAAGCTGTCCTGCAGTAAAACGGGAACTTACCCATCTCTAGGACGCGGGGCGGCAACCCATGCCGAGCGGCGGCGGCGAGGTGCCGTCATGGTGGTGCTTCGGGGGGCTGCCACTGGCCGTCCTCCTCACCGCCACCCACGAGGACGCGCCAACACCGGTCGTTGCATGTCGTCCTGGGCGGGGCGGTGGTATTGAGATGGATTGGGGGGAACCACGACCTCCTTTGAGTACTACACTGACCTGGGGTTGCGATGGCGCCGGCTGCGGCGGTCTCGGAGGTTGGGCGGCTGCGGCTGGGAACGAAAAAAATCTAGGAAGGTTAACCTACGAAAAAAACCCAGACGAAAGTGGTGGGACGAAAATTGATCGGCGAAGACTACCAACTGCTTCATTAGGGCATGTACAATGATGCTATCTTAGGAGTACCACGTAGGATAATTGATGAGGTGGAGGAGAGATAACTCATAAGAGAAGGCTTGCCTTCTCTTATTTAAGAGAAGATAAAAGATGATCTCTTAGCACAATTTGTCTCACCATGTTGTAAAGAATGACAAGTTATTGAAGATAAGGCTAAGATATAATTCATTGTAGTCATAAGATAAGACCGCCTTATCAACCATTGTATATGCCCTTAGGCTAGTCATAGTGGGGAGTAATTTGGACTAGTAACATACATATGTTACTAGTCCATGTTACCACCTTCATAGTGGGAAGTATCATAGATGTAGTACATGCATATCTTTATTTATTGTTTTGTAGACTCATTTTGTATTGAAAACCGCTATGTGATGTTAACATATTATGTTACTCTATTTGTCTCTCTCCTCTTTAATTACATGACACGTTATCTTTTTTCCTTATGTGACATCTATGTTACTACTTATGTTACTTCCACTATGACTAGTCTTAGGAGTAGAGATACACTTCTTCATCCATCGATCGCCTCCTAGTGCACCGATTTCGTTGTCTTGTCCTAACTTCTTGGTGACATGCATCCACCGCATGTTGGCCGACCGGCCTATACATGGCATCCGATTCCCACACCGTGTCTCAAAAAGAAGAGAAAGGAAACTCCATCACATCCTAGTATGCCTGCACTACATATATAAAAAGTTAAATTAAAAGCATAATGGGAGAACATCAGCTCAGCTTCACTGTTCTTCGTGGGCCGACGTGATGCCCAGAGAAGTGGGATTGAAGTGCACACGCCAAGAAGACAACCATGATGACATCATTATTAGATAAAAAGCTGATTTTAGAAGATAAAACGTTTTACAGCTCAGCTGTTTTCTTTGTAAATCCAGTGTCCCCTGCAGCCCTACTGGTTCTTACCGTACTGTACCGACAAAATCAGACATCAAAAGGGCTACCAACTCCGGCCCGGGAGCGGATTGTAAAAAACCACCACATTTGAAGTTCAGTTTCCAGAAGTGCCATCACATTTCTTACTCGTGGGCTACAAATCCCCATGGGCTTAAGTGCTAAAAATTGCACATTCGCGTCCTACCACGCCGACGACCATTGTAGACATGTGCACGGTCTCCAAGCCAACTCTTATACTAAACCGCTACTCCAAGCAAACTCATTTTGAAACGAGTGGACACCGTGCAAACATGACGATGACAGCGCTCGTTAGCTAAGCAATGACGCATGTACGCACATGAGCTTGGAATGCCAACAGCGAGGCAGGAGGCGTTTACTTGTCA